AGGAGCTCCTCAGTTGCTCATAGCAAATCCCACCTTGGAGTTTACAAAGACTTATGGGTAGAAAAGCCACACTAAGTAATTTACTACACTGCAGCCTCATAAATATTTTTCCAGTTTTTTATTTTATTCTTTTCCTTCACCCAACTTTATATGTGCTAACCCTCTAGTTAGTAGTTTACGCTCCCTTCCCTAACCATCCCTGTTGTTGTTGTTACGTGCTGTCCAGTCAAACCCAACTCATAGTGACCCCTCCTGGGATTTCTGAGGTATCACTATGGAAGTAGATTGCCCGACCTTCCTTCCAAGGAGTGTCTGGTGGGTTTGAAACGCCAGCCTTCTGGTTAGCAGTCAAGTAAGTGCCTTAGGCACTATGCTACCAGAGCTCCTTAACCATCCTTAGTAAACATCAAAGAATATATATATTTTTTTGTGAGAACCTTTTCTGGACTTTTCACAATAGAGGTCTCATACAGTATTTGTCCTTTTGTAATTAACTTACTTCACTCAGCATAATGAGCTCTTAAGTTCATTCATGTTATGAAATGTTTCACAGATTCATCAGTGTTCTTCAATGTTGCGTAGTATTCCACTGTTTGTATGTACCATAGTTTGTTGATCCATTCTTCCACTGATGGGCATTTAGGTTGTTTCCATCTGTTTACTATTGTGAATAGTCCTGCAATGAACATGAGTGTGTATGTATCTTTTTATGTCATGGCTCTTATTTCTCTAGGATATATACCTAGTAGTAGGATTGTTGGATCACATGGAATTTCCATTTCCAACTTTTTAAGGGAACACCATACTGTTTTCTACAGTGGTTACACCATTTTACAGTCCCTCCAGCATTTTGTGAGTTCTAGTCTTTCTACATCCTCACCAGCATTTGTTGTTTTCTGGTTTTTTGAACTTTGCTGTTAGTGCTGGGGTGAGGTAATATACTTCATTGTTGTTTTGATTTGCATCTCTCTAATGACTAATGAGGGAGCTCTGGTAGCATAGTGGCTAAAGCACTTGACTGCTAACCAGAAGGCTGGTGGTTCAAACCCACCAGCCACTCCTCAGAAGGAAAATGAGGCAGT